ATACAATGCAAAACACAACACAACACAAAACGCAAGCTGAGGCATTCCACAACAACTAAACAACAACCAACATATAACACAGGTAGTCCTTGACTTACAACAATTTGTTTAATGACCGTTCAGAGTTACAAAGGCACTGAAAAAACCTGACTTAGGACCATTTTTCACACTTATGACCGTCGCAGCCTCCCCGTGGTCACGTGATCAAAATTCGGACATTTGGCAACCGACTCGTATTTATGACGGTTGCAGCGTCCCCTGGGGTCACGTGATTCCCCTCTTGCGAGCTTCTGACAAGCGAAGTCAGATTCACTTAACAACCGTGTGACTCACTTAACAACTGGACCGATTCACTCAACAATTGTGGCAAGAGCGGTCCGTAAAATGGGGCCAAGCTCACTTAACAAACGTCTCGCTTAGCAACGGAAATCTGGGGCTCGGTTCTGGTCACAAATTGAGGACCATCAAACATCCACATCTGCCTCTCCCAGGACCCCGGAAAGGGCTGGATAAAAAGGCCAAATCCAGTCTGAACCTCTGGCTGACGGTGTGACCGACCATAATAATCCCAAAACATTTGGAGCATCCCTTGAACACCGTCGGCATTGATAAAATCCCCGTCGGTCAATTGCAAAGGGAAAGACATCATAAATGTTTCTTCCCATCCAATCGTTTGCGTCAAACAGAGACGCCAAAAATACGTGACTGCCGATTTATGGCAGAAGGGCAGAAATACGTGACGCCATTTGCAGAAGAGATGTTTGAATTTGAGAGGCGGGATTACTAACGGATCTTACTCGGAGAGCTTTCTTTAAACTACAACATTGATTCATTCATTCATTCAAAAATTCATTTCTTTTACATTTCCTGTTTCTATTTATTTATTTAAAAATTCGTTTATTTTACATTTCCTGTTTCTGTTTGTTTTTTTATTCAAAAAATCATTTATTTTACATTTCTTGTTTTTATCTATCTATCTCTTATAAATTCATTAATAAATTCATTTATTTTACATTTTCTGTTTATTTAAAAATTCATTTTTTTACATTTCCTGAATCTGTCTGTCTGTCTATTTATAAATTCATTCATATTTATTTTACTTTTCCTGTTTATTTAAAAATTCATTTCTTTTACATTTCATCTATCTATCTATCTATCTATCTATCTATCTATCTATCTATCTATCTATCTATCTATCAATTCATTCATACATTCATTTATTTTACATTTCCTTTATCTGTCTGTCTGTCTGTCTCTGTCTATTTATAAATTCATTCATAAATTCATTTATTTTACATTTCCTATTTGTTTATTTAAAAATTCATTTCTTTTACATTTCATCTATCTATCTATCATTTATACATTCATTCCTAAATTCATTTATTTTACATTTCCTGTTTGTTTGTTTATTTAAAAATTCATTTCTTTTACATTTCCTCTATCTCTGTGTATTTATAAATTCATTCATATTCATTTTACATTTCCTGTTTATTTAAAAATTCATTTCTTTTGCATTTCATCTATCTATCTATCTATCTATCTATCTATCTATCTATCTATCTATCTATCTATCTATCTATCTATCTATCTATCATTTATAAA